GGGCCAGGCAAGGCTGTCCTGAGTGATGGGCCAGGTGAGCTGTGCGGCCAGGGCCAGGCAAGGCTGTCCTGAGTGATGGGCCAGGTGAGCTGTGCAGCCAGGGCCAGGCAGAGCTGTCCTGATTGATGGGGGACAGATGAGCTCTGTGGCCAGGGCCAGGCAGGGCCATCCTGAGTGATGGGGGCAGGTTGCTGGCTTCCTGCACACCCCCCTGCACTGGTAGACCATGCTGAGCCTTGGCACAGTTGTCAGGGCCCCTGGACAGTTCTTGCAGGCCAGATGGGAGGTGCCATGCACAGCAGGCACGGGGAACACTGGCCACGTAGCTCTGCCATCATAGGCAAGTGCCTGGGGGCTGTGTGCTCTGGGCCTGGAGGGTCCCTGGGGTGCTGGCTTGGGCAGGGGCATGGCGCTTTGTCATGGAGAGTTGGTGGAAGAGCATGTGGGGAGCTTCAGAGGCCATACAGGCAGAGGGTGGATAGTGGTATGCCTCCATGAGGGTGAGACAGGCATCCATGGGGTGGCCTGGCCCAGGCAGGAGGGAGGACAGTTGTCCAGTGGAGGGCCTGGGCCAGGCAGGAAGGAAGGGAGCAGATGGCTAGAATCTAGCAAGAGAGAAGTGAGGACAGGTGAGGGTAGGAGGAAGGGGGTACCAGGCAGGGTAGGAGGAAGGATGTCATAGAGGCAGGTCCGCCTCATAGTTTGGCCATGGACTCTTGGGAAGCCCTGGCCTGCTGAGGGGGTGCAATGCAAGTGGTAGGACAGAGAAGTAGGGGAGGCTAAATTGGAGCAGGGGGTCGGGCAACTTGGTTTTTTGCTTTTTAACCTGATCAGTGCAGAGAAGCAGACATGGGGGTTCACAGGGGCCTCTGACAGCTCGCATGGCTCCTTTGGATGGCCTGTGTAGTCTAAACCTCTCCATACCAAGCTCTGTGATGGGGCCCACATGGTGGAGCTCCTGGTCCTCCAGCCTGCCTAGTTGTGGTCCTAAGTGCTTGCCCTCAGGGCAGCATGTCCTGAGCCTCCTTGCCCAGGTGGCAGTCCAGACACTGGTGTGGGACCTGCCCAGTGGTCGGTGCAAACAGTCCTCCAAGTCCCTCTGAACCTGCCAGCCCCTGCTCTCAGCTCTTCTGTGCTCACACTACCTCTGTGAGGGGTTTGTGCGTGTCCCCCTGTGGCCAGTGAGCTGGCCCTGCCTGCAGCTGACAATGGGTCAAAGCCAGTTTTGGGGTGCTGTTTTCTGTGACTGCAAAGCAGGTAGATGAGCTGAAACGCAGCCTCCAGGTGGCCTGGCATCTAAAGGGACCTGCGCCCTCCTGCACTGGGGAGGGCAAGAGAGGGTGTGACCACACAGGTTCTGCAGTGGCTGACTTCTCTATAGGAGCCCTGCTGTGTGCCAGGCTATCCCCCAGGCGCAGTAGGGCACCTGGTAAGTGATGCTCCCTTCTTCCCGGCCAGGCCGTACTTTGAGGGCCTGTCCCATTCCAGCTCACAGACAGAGATAGGAAGCATCCACAGCACCCGGAGCCACAAGGAGCCCCCCAGCCCAGTGAGTTGGGAGTCCTCACAAGCCTTGGAGGGAAGTAGGGCGGGGCCAGCACAGAGGGAAGGTGCCCAGCTGGGCTGTGGTGTGGTGAGTCTTCTGGCATGGCCTGGACTCAAGCCCCTGCAATGCCTCCTCCTCATCTACCTGGCTGCCTCTGAGCCCCAGCACCTCTGCCTGGAGTGAGGTGGCCTTGGCATCCATGATTGAGCACAGCTGATTCTCATCTTACCCCCTAGGCTGACATGCCTGAGAAGACCCGGTCCCTGGGAGGCAAGCGGCCAAGCGATGGCGTCTCTGACACAGTGGCCCTCGTAAGCGGCTCACAGGCCCAGAGAGGCCCAAACCCTTCACCCAGACCAAGGACCACCTCAGCTCCAGTGGGCCACACCTGTGGGCGGGAGTCTCACAGGGCCTCCATCTCTACGCAGCAGGGTCTAGCAGTGTCCCGGGAGCCGTCAGTGCAGCCCGAGGACAGCCCCGAGGCAGAGGCCTCCACCCTGGACATGTTCACCGAGAAGCTGCCGCCCAGTGGGAGGATCACCAAGACAGAGTCCCTGGTCATCCCCTCCACCAGGTGATGGGTGTTCTGTGCTGTGAGTGGGTAGGCCAGAGCCATACTGGCCCACAGGAGGGGATGGTGGTCAGAGGGCTGCCAGTCAGGGTTGGGTGCCTGGCCAGGCAGATCCAGGCCTTGGGGAGCTAGGCTAACCCCATGTGTGCTTATAGCCAGTTAAGGGCAGTTGTTGCCACTGGGCAGTGCTCCTTCCGGAGGGCGGAGCTGGGCTAGGGAGGCAGCTCACTATGAAGCCTGCTGTGGGCCAAGCCCAGGGAGGATGGGGCAGGACAGGGCAGTGTGGCTTCCTGGTGGGGGCGCCCCCAAGGTCTCTCACAGGCCTCTCTCCTTCCCCACACCCCATCTTGGTCAGATGAAGGGTAGTCCCTGAGTTCCTAGCAGCCTGTTTGGGCTCCTACCAGCCCCTTCCTGTCGCTGGGTGTCCCCCTGCCCCTGCCCAATCTTCTCTCCAGTGGCAGCTTCAGTTTAAAGTGTTGTGTTGCATTAGGCATCCTGGGGGTACCTTGTAAGCCACACTTGGCACAGCCTCCCTGTGATATGTCACTGGCTGCCCTACCACTTGTTACAGCCTGAGGTCTTACTTAGGGCCAAGGGGATACAAGCCTGCACCCCCATCCTTACAAACTCAGCTTTCCACCCCACCAGAGCCCCACCCACCTACGGAGAGTCCAAGGGTCAGGTGGCTTCTGTAGATTTGGATTTCATATTTCTGTGATATTTGGGATCTTCCAGAAACAGCAAGTGTAGACACTGGCATTTACCTGATGGGGGTGCTGGGAAAGGGTCATCCTGGTGGCCCCAGTGCCCAGTCCTGGCCTGCACTAACTCCTCCCCAGCTCCTAATCTGGGCGGGCAGGGTGAACTCTGGCTCTGGCTCCCAGGGGCGCCATCAGAGCCGAGCGCCAGGTCGCCTCCAGGCAGCCCAAGGAACCACTGCCCGTCAAGGAATCTGTGATGTCCTTCCTGCCCCGCCATTGAGAAGCAGCCCTCTGTGGGCAGCTGTGATGGGTAGCACTGTGAGCCCCTGGCCTGGCCCTGCTCTGACAGGTCTGACGGAAAGCAGGCTGGTCGTCGGGGCCGGAGTACATCCCTGAAGGAGCGGCAGCCAGCGCGGCCGCAGAGTGAGCGGGCCAACAGCCTGGACAACGAACGCTGCCCAGAGTCTCGGAGCCAGCTGCAGGTGCAGAGGGCGGGTGGAGAGAAGCAGGGCACTGGGAACCTGGAGCCCTCCTGCTGTAGGACCAGCCTGTCAGGGAGCCTGTGTGGGTCCAAGAGCCATGTCCAATGGTTCCTGCTGCCCTCCTGGTCCAGGGCAGCTCAAGCACTCAGCTGTGTGGGCCTAGGCAGCTCCTGTGGTGATTAGCCTCACCTGCTCCGAGCCTCCACAGCTACCGGGGGCCGGTGGGGGTCACTGCTGGCACCAGGCCTGGGGAGGTGAGGGTAGCATCACTGCTCTTCCCTGTGTGGATGGCCCTCTGCATCCGCAGATCCCCCGGAAGACAGTATATGACCAGCTGAACCACATCCTGATCTCTGATGACCAGCTTCCTGAGAACATCATCCTGGTGAACACTTCTGACTGGCAGGGGCAGGTGGGTAGGGGCCTGTGGGGCACAAAGTGGGCCTGGACTCTGCCTGTGAATATCATGGTGGCAGGGGCTCAGCATTACCAGCGTTCCCACCTGGCCATGTGCCAGAGCCAGTGGTGTGTTTGCTTGGACATGCCCCTGAGGTAGGGGTGGCCAGGCAGCTGAGCTGAAGTCAGCATCAGCCCTTTCCTCCACCCAGTTCCTCTCAGACGTCCTGCAGAGGCACACGCTCCCTGTAGTGTGCACGTGCTCCGCAGCCGATGTGCAGGCCGCCTTCAGCACCATCGTCTCTAGGATACAGAGATAGTGAGTCCCACGCCTCACCCCTGGGCGCCACCCTGTGTGCCTCCTGCCCTTAGATAGGGAATACCAGAACCCTAGGCTGTGGGTGGCCCAGGATGGCACTGGCCAGTCTTCCCCAGTTTCTAGCAGTTTCCCTGGGCTCCACATGGGTGGTCACTGGACTGAGGACAATTCCCCTGAACTGCTGTTTCCTCTTTCTTATCCACCCGGAATCACAGCTGCAACTGCAATTCCCAGCCCCCAACACCCGTGAAAATTGCAGTGGCGGGGGCTCAGCATTACCTCAGTGCCATCCTGCGGCTCTTTGTGGAGCAGCTGTCCCACAAGACTCCTGACTGGCTGGGCTACATGCGCTTCCTCATCATCCCACTGGGTGAGGGCTGCAGGGTGGCCATCTGGCAAGCCCTGGGCCTCCCAGGGGGCAGACATGAGCAGGCAGGAGCGAGCTGGGCTGCTGGGCAGGCAGGGCAAGCTGGGCAGGTGCATGGGCAGAGGCAAGCTGGGAGGCTGGGTGGGCAGGGCAAGCTAGGCAGGTGGGCACCACTTTGATGTACATTGTTCCCCACACTCTGCATACTGTGCTGATGCCTCCTGACTACATATGCAAAGCGGGGTGGCCTGGGTGAGGCTGTGCCCACCCAGGTAGCCTGAGCTGGGTATTTGGGTTCTGTGCCAGGACACCTTGAGCCGCGCAGCATGGGTATCCAGTGCTCAGTAATGAACCTTTTCAGGGTTATCAGGGTGTTGTATAGTTGAATTCTATTAATTTTTTTGATTCATATATAACTCATTACGTTAGAAAACAAACTTATCCAATCGTGATCCAAGTCATTGAGACCTAGAGGTGACACCTTGCCCGCACGCACCCGTGAGATGCCCCCTTGGGCTCGACATGCCACTGAAGTGCCTTGTGGTCATGGGTGCCTGGTAGGCGCTGGGCAGGCATCCTTAGTGCAGCACAGGGAAAGGACAGAGAGGGCAGCGGCCCTATTCCATGGCTAGAGTGGGAGGGGCTGTGTGGCTCTGTGTCCCATGTGTGGTGATAGCCCTCCCTGGTGTGCAGGGTCCCATCCTGTGGCAAGGTACCTAGGCTCCGTCGACTACCGCTATAACAACTTCTTCCAGGACCCAACGTGGAGGGACCTGTTCAGCAGGCTGGAGGCCCAGAGTGCTGGTGAGGCCAGGGCTGCTGGTATGGGGAGAGGGTTCCTCCTGCCCATACCCTCCACCTCCAGTGGGGCCCAGTCTCCCAGACTTTCTTCCTGCTTCGTGCTCAGGCTCAGGCTCTGGGGAGCTGGGGCGGATGGGCTGGTGGGCCAAGCTGGGACACCTGTCTCCCCTCTACAAACCTCAGAGCTTATTGGAGAATATGGGGCCTGTCTGGGGAAGGGGAGGAGACCTTGCCCTGGCCCTGGAACCACCTCAAGGGTGGAGTGCAGAGGGTCCCTCAGCTGCAGCCAGCACAGCCATCACTCAGCCCTAGGACCCATCATGCCCCCAATGGGAACTGTCCCCTACTGCTGCAGCCCCGTCCACCACTGCCTCCCCTCATGCAGTGCAGGACACGCCGGACATTGTGGCACGCGTCAGGCAGTACATTGCAGGGGCCAACTGTGCCCACCAGCTCCCCATCGCAGAGGCCATGCTGACCTACAAGCAGAAGAGGTAACACAGTGGGTCTGGGCTGTAGCAGGTACAGAAAGCACTGAGCAAGCAGTGTGCTAGTGCACACCAGATGGGATGAGAGCAAGTGGGCATGTTTCAGACCGTTCCCAGTTTTGTGCACTTTGATGTCCCCGATGGTAACAGTTGGCAGGACACCTGTCAGGACCCAGTAGGGCGGTGGTGGCCCAGCCACTCTGTCCAAACACATGTCTCCTGCAGCTTGGGCATCCTGGCTGGGAGTGGCCATATCCTTGGGCCTGTTGAGAGACAGTGCTGAGCTTTTGTTCTCGTGGGCTCAGGGTAGAATGAACAACGCTTGGGAGCCCAAAGCCTGGGCTTGGGTCCAGCAGTCTTTCCCTGGTGCTACCTCCTTAAACAGCTGGGTGTTTTCACTTTTCTGGTGTCCCTGGACTGAGAGCTGAGCCATAGCCTGGTAGAGACAGCTGTCAGCTGCCTAACAGCACCTAGCTGTCCTGGGTTCTCCTTGTGCCACCCCACATGGGGGTCTGGTAGGGCTCACAGCTGCTGCCCCAGAGCAGGCAGGTGGAGAGTCGCTGGGACCCCAGGAAGCTTGAGCCCAGGGCCCCTCGCTGTTCCTGAGAGCGTCTTAACTATCTGTGTTTTCTCTTTTGGTGGCTTTCTAAAAAGGAAAAAGCATTTTCATTTTGACTTTACCCTAAGGTATGGCTCAAGTCTGCATCCTGCCTGATTTGTCCCCAGGCTGGTCTTCAAGGCTTGTTTAGCAGAGTCCCTGACTGAGTTTGCTTTCCCTCCCTGACACCCTTCCTTTAAGCTGGGAGCAGGTGAGGTGGCCCCATCAGGCCAGAGTCCTTGTGCTCTGAAAGGCAGATGTAGGCCTTTTCCTAGGGTCCAGCCCCTAATCTGAGTCAGGAGAGCAGCAGAGGGACCCTCTGGGGTTTGTGCCATGCTGGCCCTCTGTCTGCTCCATCCAGGGTGTCCATTTAGGAAGTGGCCAGATATGGCCACCTCTCACTGTGACTAAAGGTGGCTATATCTGGCCACCTCCTAAATGGACACCCTGGATGGAGCAGACAGAGAGCCAGCATGTGTGTGTGCAGCCAGGAAGCCACTGGCTGACATAACATCCAGGTGGCCTGAGGCCAGCCTTGCTTCCCATACCTCACTGTCAGCTACTGACAGCCCCAGGAGGAGGTCAAGGCAAGAAGCTGAGAACTGCACCCAAGGAGATGGAACAGTTAGTGGCCATGCCTAGAGCCGCCTGCCACACCCAGAGGGGCCTTCCCCCAGCACCTGGGCTGGCAGAGGGTCCACGAGGGCTGTCCAGCACCTGTCACAGCTCACCTGGAGAGGTGGCCAGACCAGTGAGACTCCTGAATGGGTAAAGTGGCAAAGTACCTAGGCTCTGTCCAGATGGCTCTACCCTCATGTTCTAAGCCCCAAGGCTGGGTGCCTCACGGCTGTGCCCCGCCCCATGTACAGCCAGTGCCCATGTGTCTTTTGCCCTGTGTCGTAAGTCACTCACTGTCCTGGGAAAAGCCGCCCCATCTTTCCTTCCCCCGTGGAGAGTAGTTGGGTCCCTGGGGGCCTCCTTGTTGGACGCACTGCAGGCCCAGAGGCCATCATGCAAGAAGCACCAGGGACCATGAAAGGCTATGGGGCTGACCCTAGACAGACAGGAATCTGAGCACCCCACCCATCCTGCTAAACAAGCTTCAGCGGGAGAGAAAGACCAGCCATGGGACCTCCCTGCTGACCCTGTGGCCAGCTGTACCGGCTGCTCTCTGTAGGCTGTGGCACGAGAGCCTGCAGCATGCACTGGCTGCTGGCTGTTGCTTCTCGTCCGTCTGTCCTGGGGTTGGCTCATCCAAGCAGCTAGCCAGGGCTTTAGGAAACCTGGCCTATTCCCACCCTGTGCCTCTATCCCTGCTGCTGCGTGACAGTGGTGACACTTCCTGTCTGGGTTGGGGTAGGCTGGAGTCCTGGATAGAGCTTGGGCCTGGCTAAGGCCCAGAGTGCTAGTGGGCAGCAGCAGCCATTATCTGGCTGGATAGAGGAAATACTTTGTCCTCCCGGAGCGCTCAGTCAGGGCGCTAGGAGAGGGTTGTCAGAGGGCACAGACTCCCTGGCAGAGTCCCACTTGGCATCTGCCACCCCCTCTCCAAACTGGGCTCACCTGGACTGTCTGTAGGGGTGCGTCCCCGCCCACCTCTCTGCTACTGCAGACTGTCAGGGATAAGGCTCACCTGGGGGTGGATGGCCAGAAATCAGGGCCAGTTTGAGTTGTTGAAGGGGCTTCTCAGGCATCCAGACAGTGCCGCTGGGGCCATACAGAGCACACCTCTGGGTGTCTGCTCTCCATGCCCTGGGCGGCCCTCATCAGCCAGACTTATGATGGCTCTGTCTCCTGAGGGCACACTGAGGCCTTGGCAACCCCTCTGTGCCCAAAGTCAGGGTAGTGGTCTCACGGCTACCACTGTCACCCCTGTCACGCCAGCCCATGTCTAGTGCTGGGTGCTGTCTGCATGGCCCAGACGCACAGCTTGGCTTTGAGAGTCCTAGCAACACCCTCGTGTCGTGGCATCTTGCGCGCTGGCCTCAAGGCTGAACATGGATGAAGGACCACTCTTCTGGGAGGGGTATAGCCCTGCAGAGGCCAGTGGCCCTGGGGATTGGAGCTGCTCATGGTCTGGGGGCCAACAGACACCTATCTGGCTTCTGTGACCTCTTGGACCTGGAGGGACTCAGGCCAGACCTACCAAAGAGAACAGTGGGCAGCTGTGGGTGGAGCCTGGGTGGGCCCAGGACCACGAGGCTGCCCAAACTGTCATCAGGGCAGAGGCAGGTATGAGTACAGGACTCACATTGTTTTATGTACTTGAAATAGTAGAGGAAAACACATTTCAACTCTGTTCTTAGCAGTGAAGGGAAGGCTAAGAACTCAAGCCTCTTCATCACAATGGACAGAATCCATCTGTTATGTGCCAAGGCCTTGGCTAAGCCTTCTGGGTGGGTCTGGAGGTGCTGAGGGCTCTCTGCCAGGGCTCCTGTGTCCAGGCTACCTGGAGGAAGGTAGGCCCTGCTGGCTACTGTGAAGACGGGAATGCCTGCTAGGACCAGCCTTGGGCGGCTGCACGCTAACCATACAATCTGGGCCAGCCCCTGGGTGAAGGCCACTTGTTCGGTTGTAGGCACACTGTAGGCACACTGTGGGCACAGCTTCTGCCCCACCGTCTCCTGGGGAGGGGCTGCTGGCTGGTGCCAGGGCAGGCGGCCATGCCGGGTGTCTGGCAGAGGACTCTTGACAACACTGGGGGGTAGGGTATTGCTAGGTAAGCCCACATTGGTGTTTAGCATAGGACTTTCTGTGGGGCACCTGTGGCCTGGCAGTCAGTTCCTTGGAACCAAAGGGAAGCCCTATCCCTGGGCCTCTGCCAGCCTGCCAGAGGCTGTGGCTGTGCTTTGTACCACACACATGCAAGTCTCCACCTCGAGCGCTCCACCACTCATCAGGCTCAGTCATTTGGGGAAATGAGACAGGAGGAGTGGACATGACAGAACTGCCCTGGGAGATAGCAACAGCTACCACACAGCCTGCCCAAGGGAATAGGGCAGGTGGTACCTGTGTTCCCTACATGCCGGTCACGGGGGCCTCTGAGGCCAAGGAGGGAAGGAAAGGAAAGGTGGAGAAGGCTGACCCAGCCCACTGCCCAGGACCTTCCTTGCCCCATGGGCCTTTCTCAGGTCTGGAGGGGGTGCTCTTCAGCCGTGGGTAGAGCCTCGTGCTCTGAGCCAGCCACTGGTCCCATGCGAGTGCTGTTCAGGCTGCAGTGAGGTCTGGTCAGTGGGAGTCTGTTGTGGACATGGACCACAGGACTAGCTCCTGCTTGGGCCATGTGCATCAAAGGAGGAAGGCAGACATCTCTGAAGTTTCTTGGCTTCTGCCCTCAGGCCCTGGGCATCCTCTGTGGATAACAGTAACCACATTCCCAGGAGAGGCTGTGGTTCTGCCAGAGGTTGTGCAGAACCACATCTATGCAAAACTTGTAGCAAGCACCAGGCACTTTTCCTGTTCAGGCCTCGCCTGCAGGCTGCACGAAACGGTTGCTCTGTTAGATGCAGCAGCTGCTCCTTATTATGACTAAAGGTGGCCTCTCACACTAGCACTGACATTGCACTGACTGCAGGGAGAAAATCTCCAGGCCCTGGCTTTGGGGTGGCCACCCTAGGCACCGGAGAAGACTTAGACTTCTGGAGCCCCAGGGTATAGGCAGCAGGCCCTTCCCCCATTGCACAGGCAATAACTGGCATGGTGGGTGCAAGCAGTGCCCTGGGGATTAGGCAGGATGGAGATGCAGATTCCTCCCACATTGCACTCCCCAGCCTCCCTTGCCAGCAATTGGCCGCCTGTGGTCTCGTGTCTTGCACATGGGTGTGTTGTATTGGAAGGGATGCAGGTGTCCTGTGGTGGCCAGGGAAGACAGGGTGGAAAAGGGTGAGGCCAGGAGAGCTGCTTGTGCCCCGGGGCACCACGTGCTGTGGAGGTGGCCGAGGAGAGCCTAACCATTTGTTCTCCTTGCTCTTAGCCCTGACGAGGAGTCCTCTCAAAAGTTCATTCCCTTTGTCGGGGTGAGTACTACCTGCTTTCCCTGCTCTGAAAACCACTAACCTGCCAAAATGTCTTTTACAGTCAGAATGTTTTTGAAGGATTCCCGAAAGGCCCTCATGAGTTTGAGCTGGGGACTTGTCTTTATGGTGCCGTCCCACAGCGGTTGTGGGCCCAGGGGTGTTGGCTCCCTAGCTCTGCTAGGGTAGGAGGTGTTGCCATATGGAAGCAGAGGTCTTCAGGTTGGGGGAGAGGGTCGAGGTCTCAGCGCAGCCATGGGCATGGAGGCACCTGGCCCAGCCTCTTGGGAAAGAGACCTTGGCCACCTTAGGGTGGGTGTCTTTTAGGGGCCCCAGGACTGGGTGCTCCTTCCCCTGCCAGTTGCCCTGTTTGGACCTACAGCCAGCAGCAGCCACACTGCACTTAACAGTTCTTAGACCCTGTCTCCATTCCCACAGCTTTGGGGCAGCACCGGCCTCCAAGCTAGACCCTCTAACTAGGTCCTGTCTTGCTATACAGCTGGGCCTGGCCAGTCATATTGACATAATCTCTTACTTCCTTGAGGACTGGCCACTGGGAGAGGGCAGTCCTGCTGAGGCTAAGCATCTTCAGTCTGGTCTGCCCCTCATGCTGCCCTGACCTGGACAGATGGCTGGGGCCAGCACCACCCTGGTAGTGCCTCTGTTTTGGACATGTTGGCCCATAGCCGTGGGGAGGCAAGAGCCAAACTGGGTCAGAGCCTTAAGGTGTGAGCTGGGGAGGGCAAGGCAGGGGGTTGGCTCACACCCCCACAGCTTCCACAACCAGCATTGCTTTCTAGGTTGTGAAGGTTGGAATTGTGGAGCCATCCTCAGCCACATCAGGTAACCCTATCCCACCCTGAGGCCCTCAGGTCAGGTAGTCCCAGTACCCTAGTAGGAACCCTGAGCCCAGAGAGCACCATCCCTCTTGTCCTGAGGGCCATCCTGCCCCTATGGCCCAAGAGCAGCTTTATCCCTGGCCTCACAGTGGTGCTTTGCTTAGCATGGAGGAGCAGCCCTCAAGGCGGGGTACCTCCTTCTGGGGGGCTGGTCTCTATTGGGAGGGGACTGGCTTTGTGGGGAGCAGCCACTGTCCTCACGAGGCCCCCACACAAAGGTAGGCCAGGCAGCCTTCCCAGCCTGAGCAGGAAGCTGAGGCTCAGGGCCACTTGGCCTCCTAGCCCCTTCTGGTCAGAGACCTGACACTGCCTGGGCAGGGCAGTAGGTGGACTCACCCTGACCTTTGACTTCTCAAAGGAGACTCGGATGATGCAGCCCCCTCTGGTTCTGGTGTGCTATCTTCCACGCCACCATCCACATCTCCTGCAGCCAAGGAGGCCTCACCTACCCCACCCTCCTCCCCATCGGTGAGCGGAGGCCTGTCCTCCCCCAGGTAAAGGACCACACTGCTCCCATTTTATTCTGTGCTTCCATCTACTTCTTTTGTCCACCCTGAGTCACAGCCATCTCCCGAGGCACCCTCCTTGGCCCCAGGGGAAAAGAAGGAGTAGGTGGAGTCCCTCTAGGGCTTTGCAGGACAGCTGAGCCCAGTTGCCCACCTCCTGCCACAGAACCATGTGGGGCCTGTGCCTCCCTCTGAGCAGTACAGGGACCAGCAGTTGGGGCTTTAGAAGTAGGCGAGGCAGAAGGTCCAGATAGGCCTTTGCTCTGACAGCTGGTGCCCAGGCCCTGGAGCGGAGCTCACCCAAACAGAACCAAGCTGCCCTGGGGGCTGCAGCCTGAGGGTGAAGGCCAGGTGCACTAGGAGGTGGACATCCAGGGCTCCTGCCATGCTGCGCCACTCATGGGCTGGCTCCTGCAAGGTCCCCAGACTCCAAGGGCAGTGCAGGGAGCTTGTGGGCAAGCTACCCAAGCTGCAGTTTTGTTGCTGGCACTCTGTTATTTATACGGGACACCCCTGAGTAACCTGGGCATGCAGGTGGTTCCACAGAGCCTGCTTTAAGCACTGCCTTTCTTTGTCCAGGAAGTGAGAGTGGGTGCTCACTGTGACTTATGGCCCGTGATTAGGACACTGACTAGAGACGCATCTGTGAGCACCTCCCTCTGCCTTCCTAGCCAGGGTGTTGGCGCTGAGCTGATGGGGCTGCAGGTGGACTACTGGACGGCTGCACAGCCCACGGACAGGAAGAGAGATGCCGAGAAGAAGGACCTGCCCGCCGCCAAAAGCACGCTCAAGTGCACCTTCCGGTCTCTGCAGGTCAGCAGGCTGCCCAGCAGCGGTGAGGCTGCGGCCACGCCCACCATGTCGATGACTGTGGTCACCAAGGAGAAGAACAAGAAGGGTGAGGCAAGCGGGCTGGGTGGCCGGGGGCAGGGTGGGGGTGGGTAGGGAGTGCAGGCAGCTTCAGGGAGTGCACACCCTGAGAGCACTGAGAGTCAGGGCCACATCTGGCCTGAGCCCTGGGCAGGAGGGTGTCCTCCTTGATGAGCAGGTTTCTGAGGCTGTGTCCAGTCGAGCCCCTGCAGCTCCCCTCACCCTCTTGGGCTGCTGCGCTCCTGCCCGAGCTGCACAGTGTTGCTGGCCAGCCTGGCCTGAACGAGCAATGAGACCACGGCCAGGCTTTTTCCTCCCAGTGATGTTTCTGCCTAAGAAGACGAAGGACAAGGACGTGGAATCTAAAAGCCAGTGCATCGAGGGCATCAGCCGTCTGATATGCACAGCCAAGCAGCAGCAGAACATGCTGCGGGGTGAGCATGGGCTCCCTGACCAGGGTTTCTCTGTCTCTGTCAGTAAAGTATGGAAGGAGCTCAGAGCAGTCTTGGGGTACTTTGAAAATTTTACCACATAGCCAAGCACTATGGCCCATACCTATTATCCTAGTGCTTTGGGATGCCAAGGTAGGAGGACCACTGAGGTCAGGAGTCCGAGACCAGCCTGGTAACATAGTGAGACACCCATCTGTATAAAATCAAAAAATTAGCCAGGTGTGGTGGCATGCACCTGTAGTCCCAGGTACTCAGGAGACTGAGGCAGGAGGATTGATGAGCCCAGGAGTTAGAGGCTGCAGGATGCTGTGATGTTGCTATTGGACTACAGTCTGGGTGACAGTGAGGCCTTGTCTCACAAAAAATTTCCCCAAATAACCAACCCACCATGACAGTCTCAGCATGCCCTGCTAAGGCACTGATGTGCAGGCACTAGCTTTTCAAATTCTGAGAAAGTTTTTCAGTTCTTTTTGCATTTTTGAAATACTGATGTGTGATCTGCAGTGGGGAAAGCCACTCTTCACTCAGCTGTTCAGAGAGGGCATTCTCAGAACCTGTCCTCTCAGGACGCCTTCCTGGGCAAGGCTGCCCTGAGGGAGTCTTGTTTTAAATGGGGAGCATTGGGTTGGGCCTATGGTGACCCCTCCTGGGCAAGTGCTGAGGGGAGGATGGTGTGGACAAGCAGCCCCAGGACACAGGTCCATTGTGGCCTTGGGGTGGGGTCAGGGGCAGGGCACCCCTGGAGCCGGGGGGTTCTTGAGGGTGTTGGTGCCTGCCCAGACCAGGTAGCCACCCTGCCAGGTGGGCCGAACAGGTCTGGTGGGCAGGTGGGCGGGCAGTCAGGCGTCTTCTCCTATAGTCCTCATCGACGGTGTGGAGTGCAGTGATGTGAAGTTCTTCCAGCTGGCTGCCCAGTGGTCCTCCCACGTGAAGCACTTCCCTATCTGCATCTTCGGACACTCCAAGGCCACTGTCTAACTCCTTCAACCAAGGGGATCAGTGTCCTGCCTCACAGCAGCCACTGCACCTGGAGGGCCCAGCTACATTTCTGCTAACATTTCAGTTTACGACAGAGACAAATACTTAAAAACGCAAAGACAAACAGTCTTAAGTATGAATGTGCTCACAACTTGGAAACTAACGGGCCGCTCCCTGCTGGGAGGAGTGACCACTCTGCTTGTTAACCAGAAAGTTCCGGCAGGTGGCTGGGAGGCCAAGTTGAGGATTGCAGCAGGTGCTCTGGCCTCAGGAGCCACCCAGACCCCCACAAGCCAGGGGGCTTCTTGCCTTCATGTCCTGCCCTCCCCAAACCAAGACTCCGCTTCCTCAGGGAGCCTGGGTCAGGCACAGGCCACAGAGCTTGGTGGCCAGAGGCCGAGGAGCCCAGGGCCCACTAAATGCCCTGGTGGGGGGTGTCCTGAGTTATCCATCAGAGCCACCTGCCTGAGAGCCACCCCCAGTGCCACCCACTCGTGGTTCCCAATAAGGTTCCCAATAAACTCCAGCCTCATGGCGGAGGTTTTATAGTAGCAGGTATTTTTAATGCTTTTAAATACATGTTAAAATGTAGCTGCCAAATAGATGTTGCTCTTCTGAAGTCCCCGTGGAGTTGGGCAGAGCCAGCAGACATCTGTCCCACTTCCCTGAGCCCTTGCCCACCATACTTACTTTCTGGCGCCTTCAGGCTGTCTGTGAGATGCTGCTGTTGCTTTTGTGCCATGTCACTGCCCTCATCTCAGCAAGCACAGGGCCTTCAAGGCTCTAGGCAGCCCTAGCAAATGTCCCAGAGTCCAGTCCAAGAGACAGAGGTGTCTGAGGGCAGGTCTGAGTCTCCCCCTGGCTCCCTTCAGCTCCCTGGGTGCATATAGAGCCAGCTATGTGAGCTGAGATCTGGGGTTGTACATGAAGGGACAGCTGTGAGATGTGTGCATGTCATGTGCAGGAGCCATGTGGCCAGTGAAGGCTGGAGCAGGTTGACCTGACCAGAGAGGCTGTCCCTTCAGAGCCATGGCTATAGCCAGGTAACCCCTGCAGGACTTGGTGCTTCTCTAGGACAGGCTCCATAGAGCATTAATTTGCACTTGGGTCCCATTCCGGCTGGCATCTGCCTTGCCACACAGTAGGTGAGAGGTAACCCAACTGCCACCTGTCAGTGCTACCCACTGTCCCACGGGGGAGGGTTGCTCCCTCAGTCCTGCCTTCCTCAACAAGCATGTACCCTGGAGTCTCCATACAAAGAGCCTACCCAGCTCTTGTCCCATTGAAAGCTGTGGCCTTCACAGGCACATGGGGCTCTGGGCCTTGTTTCTTGGGATGGAGAGCTGGCCAAGGCTGTGCTAAAAAAAAAAAAAGTACCAAGCACAGGACAGGCTGAGAACAGCAGCAGAGCCACTGGTGGGTGCCTGCCTTCTCTGGAGTGACAGATGGCCCACTTTTCTTACCTGCCCCCTCCCCCACCCTGCAGTGGCTGATCAGGGTCATTTCATCCCTGTTAAGGTCTCAGGGCTAGTGCTGTGAGCAGGACCCTGGCAGGGGGCCCTCCTTGTCACTCCTTGGTCCTCCTGCAGGTTCTGCCCCAACTGCAAATGTCTGGGTAAGGGAACAGGCCCTGGCCTCGCAGCTGAGGCTCAAAAACAAGTGCCCTTCCCTCTCATTCCTGCAACCTTCTGGCTGCAGAGCCTGTTACGCTCATTCAGTTTCTTTGCCATGGTTGTACTCAGCAGGAAAGAGATGGTGAAAACTCATTTGACCTGGCTTTAGCCTTAGAGCAGCTTTTAGAGGAAGGCGTCCCAGTGGGCTGCCCTGGCCTCCACTCTCCCTGTTGGTTTCTACAACTCCATGCTCATTCTCACACACGTGAGAGAGAACATGGGTACAACCTCCATCTATCAGCGGGAGGTCCCTGTGTGCCCCAAGCCGGCAGATCTCAGCTGTTGGTCTGTCCTATACCTGAGAACCACGTCCAACCCACTGCACCATGCCCTGGGCCTGGTTAGTCAGGTAGAGACGTCGGCTATGCTTGCCCCTTCCCTGTGCCTGTTTCCCTGTTGGTTGAAAATAGGGTGGTTGTATTCCCACTGCCCACCTCATGGAGATGTTCCAAAGATACGTAGGTCATTATGAAAGTTTTGAAATACACAAAAATGAAGGAACATAAAATCCACAGAAAAAAGCCCTCCTAGCAACACCTATAAGCTGAGCAAGTTGAAACTTGCATAGGTAAATCAGAACGGACGCTGTTGACTATGTTTCTTGGAAGTGAAATAACGGTCCTTAAGTCTGTCTCAATACTTAATGGTGATCCAGGTACATGGAAAAGCACTTTGTCTCCTTAAGGGTGACTAGAAACCACAGCCACCTGACAGTCCTTGTGCCGGTGAGGTGGAGGCTGGTGGATGTGCGTCCCTGGACCTCGGTCCAGAGCATCTGGGCCACATCCCTCCACCCCCGAAGCAGGGGCTCCACCAGTGGTCGGTGTCCAGTGTGATCTGGGCCAGCTCCGCCCTGGTCCAGGCAAAAGAGCTGGCCCCTTTGTGAGTCCCATCAGGGTCGGTGCTGCCACATGGGTCACGTCACACTGTTCGGTTCCTAGGGTGTACATATTTCTTGTTTTTTTTTTTTACTGGAAACAAGATTCGTGTACGTGGCTTTGGGGAAACAAGACTAATGTGCCACGTATGTAACCATGTGGACTATTCCAAGGTGCTGCTGCCACACGAAGAAATCTGAGGGCCCTCCGCCGGCGGTCCCCATCAATCCCTAGGTTCGCCTGTGCCCGCGCCGCAGGGAGGCCCGGCGCGTGCCGGAGACGGACGTTGCGGGGCTTCAGCCTGGAAGGCAGTGCACCCATGGCGCAGGCGCGGCGTGGGTCCTCCTGAGCGGAAGTTCCGGCGCGAACGCCGCTGTGCACACTGCGGCGAAGCGCGGTGAGCCCCACCCACTCTCGCTTTGGCCTCCCCCAATCCGCTGCCGGCCGGTCCCCCCGCCCCACAGCGCATCGCGCGTACTCGTGCCGCCGGCTCTGACCGCCTGGAGAAAGCGGGCGTGGAGGGTGCGGGCCTGGGGATCGGGTGTGGCCCGGCAGTGCGGCGCTGAGGTCACAGAGGCCGGGGGAGGGGTGAGGAGCGCGCTGGTCTCCATTCTCTACGGGCGTGTAGATCCTCAGTGCCAGAGCGCGCGGGTGCTGCGCTGTACGGCGTGGGCTGAGGGGCTGGTGAAGCCGGGAGTCGGCGCGGAAGACCTGGAGCCTTCGGGGAGCCCCGCGGAGGCGTAGCGGTCCGCCAGTGGGGACGGCAGGGCAGAGAGAGGGGCTCGCGTGGGGGAGGGCGGCGGGAGCGGGAGTTCCCGCGCCGCCTGGCCGCTGGGCTTACCGGCCCGAGGCTCACCCCGCAGTGTCTGCCGGGCGGTTGGAAGGCTCCCCTTCCATCTGCCCAGGGGGCCTGGGTAGTGGTGAGGACACAGGCGGTCTTGGAGGCCCTGCCTGGCCAGCTTTAGCTCCTTCCTCAAAGAGTGGAGCGCAGATCAGGAGCCTGCTAGGGGTGACTATGACCGGCCAGGAGCTGCCTCCCCAAGGAAGGAAGCCGGCTTCTTTGCTCTTCCCAGAGCTCAGGCAGCCCTCGTCCCCAGTGGGCCCGGTGGCCGCTTGGGTCCAGTCCAGTGCCCAGAGCAGCATTCAGGAGGACTGGGTAAGCAGAGGAAGCTCCGGCCCAGGCCACCTCCCTTCCATCCACCGGGGCTCATCTGTGGAAATGCCAGGAGCTGGCTTTGGGGTGGGCTGGTGAGGTGGGCACGGGGGAGGGGCCGCTTAGGCCTTAGGAGACGGCTGAATCAGGAGTGATGAGAAACAGACAGTGGGGCTAGTGGAGGGATGTTCTGCCCCACGTTCCTGGATGGGCACGTAGGTGCACCTGCGCCCCTCTTGCCTCCCAGGCCAGTGGGCCACTCGCCTCTCTTGGACGCAGAGAGAGCACAGAGTGCACCTGCCTCAGGTAAGAGTGCTAAACGCCCCCACCGTACGCCGAGAGGGCAACAGCATGGAGGGGAAAGAAGACCCTTGCTGCAGGAACATTGTTCTCCCTCCAGGTAGGTCAGCTCTCAGGAGGAGGATTTGTCACAGAAAGTTGTGACCAAAACATTCCTAGTAGCTTGTGACAGCCCCAGTCCGGAAACACCTTTGCACCAAGGCAGTGGAGAGAGTAGCCACACACTGCTGGCCCTGAGGATATGCCCCTGAGCCAAGGCAGCCCAACTTCCCTCTTTGGGGAGGTTCAAAACCCAGTTCACGATGGGTTTAGGCTGTGATGAGCTCAATCCAAGGGCTCCCAGGCATCTGAGGGCAATCTTGGTCAGAGTGTTGGTCTTGCAGCCAGGTCAGTGTGGGGAGCTGTCAATCCACACAGGCGCGTGTGCCAGTCTGCACGTGTGTTCACCGAGGTCACAAATTCAGGTTAAAACGCAATGGGAAAAGGAAGGCTTCTGGACTTCCTTCCACAGCCCCCTCGTGTCTACCCAGCTGTGTCCTTCAGGCCCCAATGTCTATAAGGCCTTTACCAGGTGTAGGATGCTGGGGACTCCAGCAGGGACTAAACCAGCAGCTCCTCCAGCTTTTGGAGGCCTCTATCTCAAGATAGGTGATCCAGATGGCACACACAGTTCGTGTTGGGTAAGAGCTGCTCAGGAGGAAGGACAGGGCTACAGGGCTTCCATTCTGGACAGGGTTGGAAAGATATGCAGGGCCCTGTGTCCAAGGGGCAAAGATGTAGGGATTTGGGAGAGGACTCTGTTCGGCCCACAGTCTTCAAATACACAGGGGCCCTTCTCAGGCAGTTCAGCCACATTTGCAGTTCCAAGAGATGGAATGGTGGCTGGGAGTAATTGGGGGAGTGAAGGATGAGCTGGGAGGCAGAAGGACTCGGTAGAGCTATGAGCAGTAGAGGGGAGAGGTTGGTGACGGAGGGTGGGAAGAGGACATTGATATATTTCTGCCAACTTGCAGATTTCTGGTTTGGGGATGCAGTTAGCCCTCATAGGCTTGATCTCCTGTGTGGAGTTCCTCTGCCGCCGCCTCCACTCCAGCCCATGGAGGAGATTAGGTTGTTGGCTGTGGCCCTGAGGGGTACAGTGGGTCACCCTCTCTCTGTGCAGTGCTCTTCCTTTTTGTACACCTTTTGTACTCCCTTGGCATGGAGTAGTGTTCTCCAGATCTCACATCCCCTTCTTGGGTATCACCTCCCAGGGAGCCCTTGACCCAGCCCTTGACCCTTCCCTCTGCCTTCCAAGCCTGAGCCCAGGAGAGATGAGCTTATCTGTGCCACATGGTACTGGACACATGCTTCTAGAGTTCAAGTGACCTGGGCTGAGGCCAGGGAGGAGACCTTACCCAATGTCCAGTCTGCATCAAGGAATGGAGCTTTAGCCATCAACAGATGCTTCTTAACAGTCCTGCTGAAATGACCACGGGTTCTTAAGATGGCAGGAATCATGGGGTGGAGAACTGGGGAAGAATTCAACCAACAGGAGATTGAGACTAGAGCTAGGACAGAGCCAAGGAGGCTGGCTCTTGGATGCAATGGGGTCCTGCTGAAACAGCCACCAAGCACGCTTGTCCACACTCTAAGCTTTCAATGTGATTGAGCAGCCCAGGGGCACCAGACAGAAGCCAGCACCACCTGGAGACAGTGCAGCTGCCTGTCATGGTCAGTCCAAGGTAATCTGGAATCTGTACACAGGTGGTTCAGGATGAGGGTGCTGGTGACCACCCAGAAATCAGTAGCCTTTGTAGATAGAAACAGCAGACTCTGAGAGATAATGGAAAAAGACCAGTTTGCATTTGACAACAGAAATAAACTTAAACACATGTGAGGGAAACTTTAACCCCAAGGAATTAACAAAGATGTGGGAGAGACACCGCATTCTAGGAGAGGAGTTACCAGCATGGAAGTGTCTCCCAAAGGCATTTTACAGTGTGGTATAATTCACAGTAAAAGTTGTCTTTTTCCATCCACCCAGCTGGTCAAAGTTCGAATGGAAAAATAAAGATAGCCGTGATAGCCTCAGCCCAGCAGATAGGAGTTCCTAGTGGGGACCTAGCCACATAGCACATGAACAGCACAACCAAATAGAAAGTCCAGAAATGATTTGAATATGTGCAGACACAGCATGGGATGAACATGGTACTTCAAATCAATGGAGAAAAGATGTACTTCCCAACAGATTATGCTGGGAAACCGTTGGTATCTAGAAAAAAGGTTGTAGCCCCATCTTAACGATTACCAATACAAACTTTATCTAAGGTTTAAATGTAGAAAAATGAAAACCATAAAAGTGAAAGAAGAAACCCTGGGTAAATTACACCAAAAGGGTGGCCTTTTGAAGTTTAGCAATGTGTGAAAACAGAGGACTACTGAGGCAAAACAGGCTGTGATGCCGCTGTGCCCCAGCCTATGTGACAGGGTGAGACTTTCCAAACAGCAACACAGAGCCCACAGGTCGCAAGGCCATTCAGTGTGGTCCACCCAGTGCTGGGAAGACTGGAAATCCAGCTGCAAACGGATGGCATTGGGCCGTGGACACGGCTCCTTCCCAGGAAGACGTTCACAGATAGCTGTTGCCAGAATCGTCCTGACTGCTGCACCCACCCTGTTCAAATAATACTCAATAGTCTCCATTCCATGGAGCTCTGGGTGGCATCATAGCTTCTCCCATTTAACGTGACCATAGATGAGGACCTGGAGATGGGAGAAATAGGTAAGACGGAACAAAATCCCAGCAGAACATGAGAGTGAAATCCTCAGGAATGGAAAAGAAGACATTTCCATGCATAAAACAAGGGGGGAACTGTGGATAAAAAGGAACATTCAGAAAAAATTTAAAACTGTTCTGACAAACATAGTAGCTTTGGAATGTTTAGTAAAAAGGTTGGAATATAAATGAATCACCTGGAGAATGGAAAGTGGGAAAGAAAATGATAAACTTAGAAGAAACAAAGTACCAACATCCAGGAAAGAGAAGCAAAGCCAGCAGGGAGTTGAATGTTAGAGAAACCAGGAAGGAACCTAATCCCACAGTGAGAGTGCTGCAGGATACCCAGCATGAGCATAGAAGATGGTCACTATAAGATGTCACAATGGGTCAGCTCCGTGCTCATAGTACTGTTGCAGTGCCAGCCATATACACCCAGGCTGGTGGGTTCAAACTTGGCCTGGATCAGTTAAACAATGACAACTGCAACAAGAAAACAACTGGGCGTTGTGGCGGGTACCTGGTCCTAGTTACTTGGGAGGCTGAGGCAAGAGAATAGCTTAAGCCCAAGAGTGTGAGGTTGCTGAGAGCTGTAATGCCACAGTACTCTACTGAGGGTGACATAGACTCTTGTCTCACCAAAAAAATAAAGATCAGGTGGTACCCTGTGGCTGGGTGAGTAGGGTGCCAGCCCCATATACCAAGGGTGGCGAGTTTGAACCCGGCCCCAGCCAAATAAGCCATGCCCAGTGATGAGGTTTCAACAGCCCAGAGCTGCTGCTGGCATGGCACTAGCCTCACCCTCATACCAGGAGAGGGAAAAGAACCCATGAACCAGTTACAGGCATAAATTGGTAGTTTGTGCCTGTAATCTCAGCACTCTAGGAGGCTAAGGTGGATTGCCTGGGCTCAAGAGTTTGAGACCAGCCTGAGCAAGACCCCATCTCTCCAAAAAAAGAAAAAATAGCCAGGTGTAGTGTGCCGTTTTCCTATAGTCCCAGACACTGGGAAGGCTGAGGCAAGAAGAATCACTTGAGCCCAAGAGTCTGAGGTTGCTGTGAGCTATGGTGATACTGTGGAACTCAACCCAGGACGATGGAGTGAGACTGTTTCCAAAAAGAAAAATCCTGGCAGCGCCTGTGGCTCAAAGGAGTAAGGTGCCAGTCCCATATGCCGGAGGTGGCGGGTTCAAACCCAGCCCCAGCCAAAAAAAAAACTAAAAAAAGAAAAATCCTGAATAACAAGACACATCCAGTAGTGCCAAACTTCATCACCAGAGTGATGTTCTCACTCGCTTGTGTGTGCCTGCCAGGAGCAGGACCCAGTGTTTGTTCATAGACAGTGTTTAGGACAGTGCCTGGCACATAGTGCTCAGTGATTGTATATTGAATAAGTCGAGTTGTGTATAAATAAAATTGTAACTCAAGGATGAAAGAATTTGGAAATCTGTAAAAGGCCAAAAACTATCCAGGCAGTGTTTCACGCCTGTAATCTCAGCACTTTGGGAGGCCAAGGCAGGAGAATCACTTGATCTCTGGAGTTTGAGGTCAGTCTGAACAAGAGCAAGACTCCATCTCTACTAAAAATAGAAGAATTACCCAGACATTGTGGCAAGTGCCTGTAGTCCCAGCTACTCAGAAGACTGAAGCAAGAAGATTGCTTGAGCTCAAAAATTTGAGGTTGCTGTGAGATATGATGACACCATGGCATGGCCTCTAGCTTGGGTGACAGACTGAGACTCTGTCTCCCCCCCCCCAAAAAATATATATGAATATGAATAAAAGAGGGAGTTTGATTGTGGTTAATAGTTTTTTGTTTTTGTTTTTTTGAGACAGAGTCTCACTATGTTGCCTTGGGTAGAGTGCCATGGGGTCAGAGTTCACAGCAACTCAAACTCTTGGACTTAAGCAATTATCTTGCCTCAGCTGGGACTATAGGTGCCCAC